TGGATCTCACTCTGTAGCCCAGGCTGGCCTCGAACTCACAGAGATCCGCCTGGCTCTGCCTCCCAAGTGCTCGGATTAAAGGCGTGCACCACTGCCGCCCAGCTCTCTCTTTCTTTTTTAAGACTTATTTTATGTGTATGAGTATTTTGCCTGTGTGTATATAAGAACACCATGTGTGGGCCTGATGCCCTGAGACAACAGAGGAGAGTATCAGATCCCCTGTGACTGGAGTTTCAGACAGTTGGAAGCCACTGTGCGGGTGCTAGAAACTGACACCAGATCTCTGCAAAAGCAGCAAGTGGTCTGACCCACTGAGCCACATCTCCCCACCCCCAATTTTATTTTTTGTTTTTGTTTTTTAGATTTAAAAAATTTTTTTATTTTATGTATCTGAATGTTTTGACTGAGTGTGTGTATTTGCACCTGGTGTATACAGTGCATGTAGAGGCCAGAAGAGGGAGTTGGACACACACACACACACACACACACACACACACACACACACACCCCCCTAAAACTGGAGTAAAGACAGTAGCGAGCTACCACTTGGGTGCTGGGAACTCGGGTCTTAGTTACTTCCCTCATGCACCCCAAACCCACCTGCCTAGGAACAGCACTGCCCTCTGAGTTGGGCCTCCCTCCATCAATTAGCAGTTAGGAAAATGTTTCACAGACAGGGCTGTAGGCCAGTCTGATGGAGGCGGTTCCTCAACTGAAGTTCCCTTTTCCCAGGTGTCTCTAGATGTGTGACATCCCCTGAGCCATCTCCCCAGCTCAGAATGCTTTAAAATTCGTCATTAGAGCCGGGCGGTGGTGGTGGCGCACGCCTTTAATCCCAGCACTCGGGAGGCAGAGCCAGGAGGATGTCTGTGAGTTCGAGGCCAGCCTGGTCTACAGAGCGAGTTCCAGGACAGGCTCCAAAGCTACACAGAGAAACCCTGTCTCCAGAAAATTAATAAATAAATGAAATTGTCTATTTTAGTGTATGAGTGTTTGGCTGCATATATGTATGTACACCACGTGTGAGCAAGTGCCCCTTGAGGGTAGAGGAGAGCATTAGCTCACCTGGAGCTGGAGTTACAGGCAGTTGTAAGGCACCTGATATGGGTGCTGGGAACCAAGCCCGGGTCTTCTGCAAGAGCAAAAGCTTCTCTTACTCACTGAGCCATCTCTCCAGCAGCCCCTTCCCCCCAGGAATGTGTTTTATGGGTAAAGAAATCATTATTTTCTTCGGGCTGGAAGTGGCATTCATGGTAGAGTGATGTAGTAAGAAGAACATAAATTTGAGTCATAGTTCTGTTTCTATTCTTACTCTGTCACTTGCTATCTGTGTACAAGGTCTTGTTCCTTATCCTCCCTCACCCTCAGCGTCAGATGCAGACCCAGCCTGTGTATGGGGTGGCATGGTCAAGGCGAGACACCTGAGTCCCTGCGCACGCATGCTAGAGGCCCTTTCTTTCTGCTTCTGCTGAGCGTGCCTGTAGGATGTCATAGACTCCCTCCAAGCAGTGTCTTAGTTACGCAGCGCTATCAGTGGATGCCACAAATTGGGTAACTTATAAAGAGAAGGGGCAGATTAAGCTCTCAGTTCTGGGGGCTGGGGGGTTCAAAGTAGGGAGGGCGTACCTAGTGAAGGACTCCCTGCAGATGGGAGCTCCATGATGAGACAGAGAGAGCCTGCTGCCGTGGGTGTCTCTTCATACCAAACCATTAACACCACGATGAGCAAAGCCCCACCTTAAAGTACCGTCGGCATAGGACTTTGGGGGTTCCATTTCAACCTGAGTTGTGTTGGGGGACACAAATAGCAGGCTGTAGAAGAATATGGTTTGTTTTTTTTAATCCACAGGGTTCTCTTCGCCTATCAATAATATTGGTTGTTCAGAATCCCTTGCTGTGAATTCTTTAAAACTTGCCTATTCTGTGTTTCCTGAGAACATTTTAATGCCCAACTATGGACTGTAGTCTTGAGGTCCAACCATATGACGTAGTTGGTCTCTCTGGATACCAGTCTTCTGTGGATGTTATGCATAGCAATGTGTAATAGAATTGCTAAACATTATGACGCTAGTTAAAACCACAGGGCGGAGCTGTATATTTAAATTTAACCTCCACATAGCTTTTTTATTCTGGGTAGAATAAGGTCCTAGCACTTCCCGGCCATAGCAAATATACTTTTAAGATACATATTGCAGTTTATAACAGTGGCATCTCTTTTATTGTTTCAAGATACAGAACAACTTACAAAAGCTGCTTGAGAATGGTGACTGAGTGACCGGATGCTGGGGCCAACATAATACCTCGTTTTCCCTTGAAGAAGGTGCTTCCCGAGAGAGTCTGCTGTGCGCCCCCTGCTGGCCAGAGGCGCAAGAGGCTGAGACTCCAGATGTGTTTGCACTTGGAGCTCTCCAGCTCAGGAAAGGGGGAAAGGGAATGATTTTGCTTTTGTGCAATAAAAGTTGACCTTGTCTCTGCTGCTGCCTGAAGAAAACAGACCCATCTCGGGAGGTGGGCAAGGTCCTGGAGGACACCTGTAGCGCGAGAGTTATGGTGATGGTCAGTAAACACTGCACTCCATGCTTTTCAGCCCTCCCCAGCCTCCTCTCGGCTCCCTTCACCCATCCCAACCAACCTTCAGACCTAAGGGGTACGCCGTATACCAACAAACTCAATATGGTTCTTTAAATTAGCCACGAGCCTCCAACAAGGCAGTGAATATTTCCAGATGAACAGGCTTGCTTCAGACACCTGCGTTTTGGTCTCTGTTTTTTTGTTTTTTGTTTTCCTCCTGTGCTTATGTTCTGATTTCTCCCGTCTATGAGTTTCAGTTTTTCATTTTAGTTTTGTGAGCATGTCTGGTAAAGTGAATTAAAGGTTGCATCTGTGTTGGGCTGTTTTGTTCCCCGTGACTGGTACTTAATTGGAGTGATTCTCCTCCACCTCCGATCAGGAATCTTCGAGGTGGCAGACTGAAGTACTGGATTAGATTCACCCTGAAACCACAACTAATCCTTAAGCCAAAAGTTGCAATAGTGATTTCCTATGCGATGGAAAGTACTGTTTCTAAGATTCTAAGTGGACTACGGTAGCAGTTTTGAGCCAGGATGTCTGTGTTGGACTCTAAATCCCATTTCAGCATGGTAATTGGCTATCTCTCTCCTACAATAAAGTAATAAGTGGTGGGTTGCTAACTTTACTTACCGTATGGGTTGGATTTTTTTTTTATTAATAATTATTTAGGGTACCGTAAGATCTGTAAGTGTAAAACATTCTATCTGCAATGCGTTTTATAATCATTTCTATGAAATGTATTTTGTTTAATCAGATAAGCTAATAAGTGGATTGGTTACATCATTTGTATTTTGTCAGCCTACTGGGTAACTGTGCCTGGTGCACCGGCTTTTAATAAATACTCATTGGCTAAAACACTCTATGTAACACTGTTTCCTGGGTTTGTCAATTCTTTTACCTCAGACTTGCTGTGCCTTTTAAATGTCCTCACCTCCACCCCGTGACTTTCCACTCATATTTACCACCATCACCACCACCACCACCACCACCACCATGGAGGATTTATTTCAAAAGTCAAAAAAAAAAATATTTTAAGTTTTTTGGGTTATAATGATGTCAAGGAAAGAAAATGAGCTTTGAAATCAGGAGACAAGTATTTGATTCCTAGGTTTGACTGGCATTTGATGAGGTGTTTGGCCTCAGACATGGTAGCTTGCCATCCTCTTGCCTGCTTCGTCCATGAGACTGAAAGTTCCAATGAAAAAGTGCCAGTGTGGATATGATGAAGCCGCTAAGACACACAACTTTGTTGGGCAAGTAGTTTCCCTCATAACAGGTACCATGTTCTTTTTTTTTTATTTTATCTCTGTGTGTGTGTGTGTGTGTGTGTGTGTGTGTGTTTGTGCACGTGTACACAGGAGGTCAGAGAGAACAACTTTCAGGAGTCAGTTCTCTCTCTAAACCACAACTTCCAGGCATCAATCTTAGATTGTCCGGCTTGCTTTGCAAGCACTTTTACCCCCTAGGACCTCACTGGTCCCACTGTTTGTGCCCTGCCACCTAGAGGTTCATCTTAAAGCAACAAATCAGTTTTACGTGTAGGAATATTTTTTGAGAGAAGGTCTTACTATGTAGCTCTTGCTGGAACTTGCTCTATAGACCAGGCTATCCTCTAACTCACAGAGGTCTGTCTACCTCTGCCTTCCAAGTACTGGAATTAAAAGCACATGCTATACCCAGCCTCCAGGAATGATCTTTGAAGCTTTCTAGTAGCAGAGCAGGTTTTGGTTTTGGTTTTGGTTTTTTCTTTTATTTATTTATTTAGTTAGTTAATTAGTTAGTTGGTTAGTTAGTTAGTTGGAGGCAGGGTTTCTCTCTGTAACCCTGGTTGTCCTGAAACTTACTCTGTAGACCAGGCTGTCCTTGAACTCACAGAGATCTGCCTGCTTCTGCTTCTGCCTCTGCCTCCCGGGTGCTGGGATTGAAGGCCACCACCGCCCAGCTTGAACAGTTTTTAAGAAGGGTACATTGTGGAACGTTGCCATCGTTTGCATGCCTCCCTGTTAGAATTCCTGCCATCTCACCAGCCCAGGATATCCTTTTATGTACTGCTCCCCACCCCACCCCCATTTTATTACACTTATCTAATTGGGGGGGGCAGTATATATACTGTGGCACATGTGTGACGATCAGGTGACAACTTGAAGGAGCTGACTCTCTGACCACATGGATCCCAGGAATCAATCCAGGTTATTAGGTTTGGCAGCAAGCCCCCCTTTACCCACTGAGCAGCCCCCCCCCCCATGTGCTGCTTTTAAGCGTGTATCCTGACACAAACGCTGTGGCCAGATTAACTGATAGAGCCGAGGCTGCCATCACACTTGCCATCCCCCACCACGGCTTCCCTGGTGCTGGGCTTTCAGGCATCCACTGCCCCGTACTGCTTAATGCAGCATGCTTGATTGCCAGAATTTCCAGGCTGTCTTTGTTGTGTCTAGACGCAAAGCCTTTCCTAGTGTGGGAACAAAGACTGAAAATCACTTTTTCTATTGTGGTTTTTCTTATCTTTTGTGTTTCTAACCACTTAATGTAGTCTTTCTCTTTTTTCCCCCTCTGTACACACACACACACACACACACACACACACACAGCATCCACCACACCAATCATCTGTATTTGGTAATGATAAATGGGAGATGAAATAGCCCTTGCCTGCAGATAAAGCCACTGTATAAATGGGTCCTTATGACTCACACAACTCATTATCCTTTAGGTCTTTAAGAATCTGGCCAAAAAGCCTCACTTGGACAATTCTTTCTGAAAGTAGCCTTAATACACAAAAGTATGAGAAAACGCAGCGTGGAGGAGTATGCATCCATTTGTCCTGCCATCACTCTACCTAATTTTTTAAAGATGTGTTTACCTTATTTTGTACCTGAATGGTTTTGCCTGCAAGTATGTATGTGAAAGGATGATAACCAGAGTTACGGAGAGCTTTTTGGAGAGGAAGGAAGGGATAGGAGAGAGGAGAGCCAGGCCTGGAGAGAGAGAGAGAGATGGCGGGAGCAGAGCTGAGCGGGAACAGAGAGCAGGGAGCAGAGAGAGCCCGTGGGGTCTGCATCCGGCTTTTTAAGGCACGTGCATAGTCGTCCTCACCCCCCCCATGACGTAAGACGCAAGACCCCAAGCTGCGCATGTGCAGGAGTGAGGGCAGGATCCTAATAGTGGGCACCAGTACTTTTCACAGATGATGAAGTCCACACACAGAACAGCCAGGTAACGTTCCCTAGCAATCACATACCTAGTTAAACCTGAGAGCAAACTTTCTCCGAAACCTGTGAAAGTGCCCGCTTGAACGGACGACAAGACAGCCCCCTTACAATGACATTTATTTTGCGTGGTGGGTGAGGTATCAGGACAACTGCAGGAGCTGGCCCTGGGGGCAGCCACCGCCGAGTGCCTCCTTAGCAGCTGAGTCCCACCCCCACCCTCGAGTTCCCTGTTTTTCTCTGAGAATTGCTGCGGGGTTTGCCCTCTTCTCTGAGTCCCAGGTACTCATCAGTCCTGGGCCACAGGGCTAGAGCTCTGCTGCAGCTGCAGTCAGTCTCCTGCAGCGGCCTCTGCTCCCCCAAACTCTCACGACTCCATTGCATGCGGCAGACAGAGCCAAGCTGTATCCAGTTCTGCCTGCACCCCGGGACCCTAACCAGCCTCCTTTCCCTCATGCCAACCGGGCTTTCGTCCCCTTCCTTCCAAGGACCTCGGACATTTTAGCCTTAGCTTCTCCGGTACCAAGTCACATACATCCCTTTAGCACCCTTCTCAGTTTTTTTTCATAAGTTTTGTCTGGATCTCTCTAAGTTCAAGACCACACTGGGCTACAGGAGATTGGTCCAGTCTAGGAGAGAAACAGAATCAGGCTGTGGTGGCACGCACCTTTAACCCCAGGATTTGGGAGGCACACACGCCTTTAATCCCAGCACTAGGAAGGCTGAGATGGGAAGTAAGATGGCTGGACAGAGAAAGGCATATAAGGCATGAGGAGACAGGAACTAGGGGCCTTTTTGGCTGAGGACTCCGAGGCATTCAGTCTGAGGATTCATGGACATCGGCTGAGGAGCTGGTGAGGTGCGAAGTGGCTGTGGCTTGTTCCTTTGTCTCTCTGATCTTTCAGCATTCACCCCAATATCTGACTCCGGGTTTTTATTAAGACCGTTTAGATTCGCCCAACATTCTAATACAAGTCTGTATGGGTATTCTCATTTCTCCTCGGAAAACAGCTAAGAATTGAAAGGCTGCATCTCATGGCAATTATATGATTAACTTTTTAAGAAACTAAGAAATGTACTGGAGAGAGAGAGAGAGAGAGAGAGAGGGAGAGATGCATACACACACAATAAATAAGTATCTTTAAAAAATTAAAATGAAACTATAAATATACATACATTCCCATCACCAGTGTTTGGACCAATTCATCCAATCTTCACCCACATGAAATGTACAGTCTTAAATTAGTGTGTTAGTCCCGTCACTTGATCTCTGCCTGGGCTCAGATGGCACCCCATGACCAGAATCCTGTTAGCACACTTGACCAGAGAAGTGCATGCATTTCAGGCCAGCACATGCAGCCTTTTGATTCTGGGGAAACCTCAAAGGCTACTGTCAGTACCGACTCGTACCCTTTTGTGGATCAGTAGGCAGGACAGGATACTGATCCCTCTAAGCTCTGCTTCCACTAACCCTGCACCATGGAATTAATTGGGAGGCAGGTTCCTTTTGCCCAGATGGATTTGTGTTTTTGAGACAGAGTCACATGTGGCTCAGGCTGGCCTCAAACCTGACATTCTGCCAAAGATGACCTCAAACACCTGATTTTCCTGCTTCCCCCTCTCGAGGGCTGGATTACAGGTATGTAATTCCCACATCCAATTTACACAGTATTGCGAGTGCTAGACAGGTACTCTACCAACCGAGCTACATCCCTAGATCCCTAAATAGATTTTGGAATGGAGTTTTTTAGTTACATTTTCTCTATTTCATGTGCATGTCTCTGTGTGAAGTTTTTAAATTGTATTTATTTAGTGTATGCCTATGCACGAGAGAGAGAGAGAGAGAGAGAGAGAGTGTGTGTGTGTGTGTGTGTGTGTGTGTGTGTGTGTGTGTATGTGTGTGTAGACACACATGTGCCATGGCAAGCGTGTGAAGGTCAGAGAACAACATGTGGGAGTCATTTCTCTCTTTATGGTGTGTACCATGTGAGTGCCCCGGATTAAACTCAGATCAGGTCATCAACTGCGGCTGTAGGTACCTTTACCTGATGAGCTATTTTTCCAGCCCCTTGAATGAAGATTTTTAGGAAAATGACAGTATATATAAATATTTCCAGAGGCTTGAGTCCTTCAAGTATTCACCTTCCTATATCAGTACTTTAATATCAGCAATAATCATTCATTAATAAATGGCCCATTTGCCGGGCAGTGGTGGTGCATGCCTTTAATCCCAGCACTCAGGAGGCAGAGGCAGAGGCAGGCAGATCTTTCTGAGTTCAAGGCCAGCCTGTGAAGGTCTACAGAGCAAGATCCAGGAAAGGCGCAAAACTACACAGATAAACCTTGTCTTGAAAAACTAAAAAAAGAAAAAAAAAGGCCCATTCAGCAAGGGGTTGTCACACAATATGAGGACCTAAGTTGGATCCCTAATACCTACACAGGCACAGTGGCATATGCCTATAATCCTGGCACTGGGGAGGCATAATTAGGGGCCCCCTGATGCTTGCTAGCTAGCCAGTCTAGCTGAATCAGTAAGCTCCAGACTCAGTGAGAGACTCCATCTCAATAATAAGGAAGACACACAACACTGACCTCCAGCCTCGAAGCACACACACACACACACACACACACACACACACACACATACACACGGAACAA